GGGGGGCGGGGGAGGGAGGTGTCACTCACTCCAAACCAAACCCACAGCCATCAAGTCGATTCCCCCGAATAGCAACGCCATGGAACTGAGGCAGTAAATCTTTACAGGAGTCTCACCGGTGTCCTGTGGAGCAGCTTGTGGTTCCAACCTGCTGACTGTGGGGTTAGCAGCTCAACTCACGACTGACACACCTCTGGAGCTCCTCTCTGTCCTGTAGGCTCATTGTCATAGCAGCGGGGTTGCTTTTGAGTTGGCTTTAGTGGGAAGGAGCCCTGGTGTGGGTCACACACTCCTGGTGGTCAGCACTTCGAGCTCACCAGCTGCTCCAAGGGCAAAAGATGAGTCAATTTACTCCTGAAAAGATTTAGTCTCGGAAACCCCAAGGAGCAGTTCCGCTCTGCCCAATGGCATGCTCATGAGATTGGGGATGGTCGTTGTGAGTCCAAATGGAAGAGGTGGCAGTGGTTCAGATCTTAGTGTTGGTCCATTTCAGGGGTGTCCGTCCTGCCGCCAAGTGGTAGCCCACTGTGCCCCCAGGGCCCCTTGGGATACAGTATTTTATTGAATGAGGGTGTATTTCATGCAATCCCTTCTCAGAGCCTCTGCGGGGTTCATCTCCCTCTCCCCGTCCCGGTCCTTAAAGTCGGGTATCCTGTGGAAGCCCCCTCCCCGCTCTTTGCTTGCGGTACCTTGTCACTGCCATGCTTGTCCTGGGAGGTGGGGACCTTTTCCACAGCTGGGCTGGGACACGGTGGCTATTTTTTCAAGGTGGAGATCATGGGCTTGGTGTGAAAGTTGGCAAAGACCAAAGTCCCATCAAAACCAAAATGCACTGCAACCGAGTGACAGGCTCTTCTGCTAAAGGATCAGCTAGTGGGTTTGAAGTGCTGACCTGGAAGTTAGCAACCCAGCCCCTTTATCCACTGTACCCCCAGAGCCCCTTAAGCCCCAAACCTAACCCACTTCCATCAAGTCACGCCAACTCATAGCAACTGTATTGGACAGGGTAGAACTGCCCCAGTGAGTTTCTGAGACCATGGCTCTATGGGAGTAGAAAGCAGAGTGGCTGCTGGTTTCAAGCTGCTGACCTAGCGGATCGCAACCCCATGTATAGTTACTACTATGCCACCAGGACTCTTGTTCCAGGGCCCGGGGCCCTTTGGGGGTAAAAGTTGATGAGCCTCCACTTGTAGCTAGAAAGAGCCCAAACTGCCGTC